TGGGAAAAGACAGAGGGAATTGAAATGATACCAGGAGGCGAAAGGTCAGGGAGAAAAAGCTCCCGCCTGGAAAGCACAGTGTGAGTAAGCTGCCTAGACTATTACTGCACAGAGAGCTGAAACTTGCTTTCCAAGTTTGAGATTTCTTGTTTATCCTATACAAACACTGCAGTTAGGTCTTTACTATAGAAGTAACATCTCTTGCCTATGAATCACATGGATTCTTTTACATATTCTGGTAGATTGCTTTTAACTATTGATTAAGTGTAAGGTATTACGATTATGTAGGCCTAAGTAGCTGAGGCATCAAAATAAAATGTTGGCTGCAAAATAACCAATGCTGTTATGAAGATATACTATCTGCTGCCTGATGGCAAACTTGTTGATGGTCCTTTTTGATTCCCGTTCATCAGAGCTGGCAGGCACATGCGGAAGGACCTGGGGGGTGTATTATCAGGGTGAGGATAAAGTCAAGGATAAGAAAGTCAACAAGCCATGCCCAGAAACAGAATTTCAAAGACTGAGGTAGGAGACACTTAACCAAAGCCAGAGGAAAGGGCCAGAATTTTCCCCAAAAGGTTGAAAATCAATTAGTATAAAGTACTAATCAATTAGTGCAAAACATTCTACGTATTTTGAAAATCAATGCCCTAGAGTGGATTCTCTAGAAATTGAGACATTGTGCCTTGAAGAAGATGGGGTTTCCTACTGACCATCTCACAGAAATAAAATCTATTTGAAAATATTCTTCTATATGGTAAATAATATTTAATGCTCTGTGCCCTAAAATTTTAAATGAGATTTATAGCTCTTTCGATTCCTCAACCGAAGGATCCAAACAAAATTAATTTCATTTTTATTGGTTTAATTATTTCAAGTAGAAAAATGATGCTTATATAATGCTTATTAGAATTAAAATTACCTAAAAAGATGTACTATATTTTAGAAAACAAAGCTTATCAAAAAACATTCTGATAAATTCACAGTGAATTGTCTTTTTTAAAATGATAATTATATATTGTTACTAGCCATTAACCTTTATAATAACTTACAAACTCATGAATAAAAAACCCATAAAATGTATTACTTCCTAATGGGTTTAAGATATTTCTTGCATAAAACCTATGATTGGTTATATATGGCATATTTTTCTTAGGCTAATTAAAATATTTTATATAGTAAAAACATCATAAATAATGTTTACTATGCCTTACACAATATAGCTCACCTAAAAAAATAATATATAGTCAATAATGTAAATATTTTTAGAAGTTACAATTTGTTTGGTATAGATGGTTTCTTAGTTTCTATAATAATTCATTTAACTGGAAACTTTCAGAAAATGCTGCTGGACTAAGCTAAGAATTTAATAAAGACTAATCTGGTTAATTTTATTATATAAAACTAAAAATTCCTTGGGACATAATAGCTTTACTTCCTCCCCTCTTTTATTATTTTAATGTCAAATAAATGGTTAAAAATACAGTTTATCAATATGACGGCAATATATTATTGTCATGAAAGTGGTTTACTGGACCAGGGATGATTCTCAATTCCGCACTTTCTATATCTTTAATCTTGCATGAAGTAATAACTTAGAAGTCCAATGTCAATTTCTGGTTATTCAAAACTAAACAATGGAAGGCAACATAATGGTACTCTCATTCCTCCACGTTATCTAGCCTTAGAGTTGTACAATGTGTAACATGTGGGCATAAAGTAGTAAAAAGACTCAGAATGTGTGAAAATGAGAAAAATATTTTGTAGGGCTTTTAGTATGTTGATATACCGTTTTTGACAGCAGTGTCAAAAAATGGAACAAAAACATAAAGATGCCCATACTATTAACCAGGGATCTCACTCTTGAGAAAAAACTGAGCAGATGCGAAGCTGAACGCATGGGGATTTTCTCAGCAGCACTCGATGATATAAAATAATGGAAAACCATCTCAGTGGTTAATAAGAGAGGAAGTTGTGATTAATGTGATTAACATCTGAAATGAAATTTATGATGCAACCTTTAAAAATAAAAATAAGAATAGGTAGCAACATGGACAAGTTTATAAATATAATGTGAAAGGTTTTCATAATGTAATGACTAGTGTACAATACATGTTCATGAAGACAATGACCAAAGTCATATACAAAATTAAAATAGTTATTACTCATTTATTATTAATTTTAATCATATTGATGATGCCTTTTAAATGAAAATACTCGGGTTACTCATTAATTATACAATTTCTTTTCTAATAAGTTCTAGTAGATAGTGCTACTTAAATCTATCTGGAACACTAAAGAGACTCACGGGGTTTCATTCGAGTTAGGTGCCCTAATGGATCATTACCACTTTGGCAATTCAGATACTTCAAGGTACCGAGGCACCTTCCAGTGGGGTCTAAAACAATAGCAAATGAGCTACGAAAATAGAAACACCTGCAGAGTTGTTGCTTTTTTTTAAAGGTGTACATTTTTACTGTTAGGCTCTTCCAACTCACTGTCACTGTTGATTTCCTCAAACATTCTCAGAATGTTGAACATGTGCTGTAAATTTCCACACATCTTTTAACCCCAATCAGCAGGCCAATTCATGAATCAGATAAGGAAAACATTGTATGACAGATCCAAAGGCTGAGGTTTCCAAAAAGGAATTAAGGTAAAATTGAAATAAATTAGGTAGGAGGTAAAATCTAAGTAAAAGAAAAAAAAAAAAAGAATCTGTGGCAAACGTGAAAAGTTCAAAGGCTACAGTAGGGCTCAGAAGATAACAGAAACCAGTGCAGCAGGATGTGTGTAAGTAACGGGGGAAGGCGGGGGCGCGCTGGGGCCAACTGCACAGCAGCAACCAGGACACAGATCTAACAGGTCGCTAACATGCATGAATGCAGACCTTGGGCTTGGGCTGCCAGATACTCAGAATTATTCAAGGAGGCCAGAAATATAGACACCTGTGTGAAACTTCTGAGTTTCTAAGTGTTGACAACTAACTTAATTCGTTGTAATGTTTTATTCCCTGTGAGAGCCAAATAATCAACGCCCTTGGGCTTGTTTGGTTTCACAGGTTCCTATGTGCCCCCTCTAATCTCCGGTGAGCGTACTGGGACTTCTCCAAGGGATTTGCCAGAAGTCGTATTTTCAACTGAGGCCCTTCACAGAAAAAAAGAAAAAGAAAAATGCAAAAACAGTGAAGCTACACAGGTAAGCACACAGGTAAGCATAAATCAATAAGGGCTTGCAAACTGTAAGAACATTATAGTAAGACCTGCATGCTCTTGAGGAGGAAAACCTTAGAGGATTTTACTTTTGTCTATGACTGAGGAAACATTCTGAGTCACTACAAAAGAAGATTAGCCCCCAAAGGCTTTTTACTAAAAATGATCAGAATGAAATGACATTTGGCCAAGATGGAATTGCTGTGAGCTACCAAATTGCAAATAGGATCCAACTGTGTGTCCTGAGTTGTGCCTGCCTGTCACTAGTGTCCCTTTACCTGGAGACTCCTACAGAATGAGGGCCTGGCTGAGTCCCAGAGGAAACAGGGGGCTCACTGTAAAGGTGTTTTCAGTTGAGCTATAGCAATGTACCTGTCACCAAAGTTAGGCTCTGCGGAGGGGTGGGCATGAGTGGTTGGGAGGAAGGGGAGAGTTGTCTATTCAACTAATCATTTGCGTCACATGCACCCAAGGAAAAAATGTTTACCTGGTGGAGCCACGGTTAACCTTTTTTCCTTGCTGAGCCGGTGCCCTTGGATGAATTCACTCATGGAAGGGGGGCCCTTCAGAAGAAATGATTCTGTGGAGGTGGGATCAGGGGGAACTCTTAATAAACTCTGTAGGTAGGAGGCCCCTGAAGTCCTGGGACGGCTCTGATCACAAAGGGAAGGTGAAAATTGTCTTGCAGGAGATCCAAGAAAATACATATAGGAAACAAAAAAGTTTTACTTTAATTACCTTTCAAAGCCTCACCAGTGACAACATTATTTATATTGGCATTTAATTTTTTTTTTAACATGTAAGTCAAGCTTTTTGCTAACTGTTTGGTTTCCACACCAGGCTACTACCCCTTTTAGAAACCATACTGGATACTGAAAAAGAGAGTTATTAAGAGTTAGTCTGAACGACAAAGAGAAAATTTTTGTACTATTTGATTTTGTACAGAAATCTCCTAAAATAAAAATTTTGCCATTAACTGAAAATACAGGGTAATTCAAATCCAGGAATCTGGAAAAAGGTCAGAAAAATCAAGCCACTGGAAATCTTACAAGTGATTTCTTACAAGTGATTTCTATGAATATTGCTCAAATTTCTTTGAGCAATATTCATATACCAAAAGCAAATGCACAAAAACCTGCTTTTAAGAAAAAGACTATACATATTCCATCCCATTTTACCTAAATATAGACATCTCCTTTAGTGAGTCCTCAGTTTTGGTAACAAACAAAGTTCCCCTAAGAGAACAGATTCACGTCCTCGCCCCATAAAGAGAAGCTGGTGAAAGCACCATTCACAGAGGTACAATGACTTAAAAATGACCGCCATGTAAAACAAAGCTTCATTCTTAATGTCCACCTTTTATCTACCAATTTTTAGGCTGGAGGTGAGGGAGAGGAATATTATGCATACAAGGAACAGCAAAAATGTTGACAGACACTTGAAAGTTATGGTTCGTTAAGAGGTGAGGTGAGGGAGACAGAAAGGAGGAAATAAACACCATTATCAAGAAGTTTTGATTGGAAAAAAGCAACATTGGCAAGACCCATTTATAATACACCCCCTCCCGGTTCTTCTCTTCCTTCCCTTCTTCCGTCCGCTACAATAAGAACACATCAATGCTTGCAGTTAACTAACATATGGCCACTGCACCAAACTGTGAAGATCGCTGCATGCATACCTTTTCCTCTGAGTGCCACTGCTGACCCGAATGTCGGGTGTCTGTGGGCCCTGCCTACGCAGGAGGTAAGTGTCTATGGTGGGCACGGTGACTGAGGCCTCCCCACTTACTTTAGGGCTGCCGATCTTGCTCTTTCCAAATTTGCCTTTGCTGCGTCGGGACTGCTCATGGTCAAACTCTAAGTCCTCCAGCCGCTGGGTCAGGGCGAGTTTTTGCTGGATAGCCATTCTTAACAAAGTATTTAGAGTCTTCTTCTCGTCCTCTGCTGCTGCTAACTGTCTCTGCATCTCATCCAACTGCGTGACATATTCATCACATCTGGAACCCAAACAGAAACGTGATCAGGAGAAAATCTTGGCAAAACTGAATTTGGAATTTACATGGAAAAGTAATAGATTTCACTGGAAATTAGGTACTTAGAACACTGGTCTTCTTAGAGCAGAATGGAGGTATTCTACCATAGTGGGAAATTAGCAGCAGTCGAGTAGGTACAATTATTGATCACCCATCTGTATCATGGAGTACTACATACAGGGACATGCTTAACAGGTGACATCTTAGACCTCAAGGACAGTTACTGTGGGGGCTGCCGCATGGTGGCATAGGCGGTAAAGTCTCAGGTAGTGTTCACAGCATCTTAGACGTGTTCCAGTAGCTTTTAATGTGTTCTTAGGAGGAATGTGACAAGTTTGTTATAGGCTATGTCTGTAGCATGAAAAAAAATGTTAATGTTTATAAAGAAAGCATTTCCTTCTTTATCTACATTCATAGGTTTTATTTTAACCGAGTACAGATAGCAGCTGCCACTGCTTTCAATGTAGATTTGTCTGAATTAGAAGCCTGAGCAATTTCAAAGATCTCTCAACCAGGTGATTAAGTAATAGGTGTCAAAGAAAACCAAGATTTGCATCAGACTTGATACAGATCAAGAAGACTGTCCGACACCTCTGTGCAGGCTGGGTACTTGTGCTGCAGCAGGAAGGCAAGTTCAATGACCTGTTTTCCCCATCAAAGGTAAAACCTGAGCACATATACAGTTGGAAAAATAATTATGCACATAATTAGAGTTTTTCTGAGTTTATTTACCCACTGAGATAGTAACAAATATTCTTCATATACCAACGGATCATTAATGACTTGGTGGAGTTATCCAAAATGTATTGTGCACACTTGGAAATCAGCACAAGCCTTGTGACATTTTAAAGAAAAAACAGACCTTAGAGGGAAAGAACTTGAAATCTGGGTGGGTCCCCATTTTCTTTTTACCTTGAACGTCAAGAAGCATAGTAAGGATATCATAAGAAAATTCAGGGCTTAGTAAAATACAATGTGAATTTCAGGATGCTGGGTTTGTTTTAACTGGGCAGATAACAGTATTTTTAAAAATACTATAGAGTATGGCAATTACTATACCCCCAAGACCCCCAAATTTCTGTGAAAATGCACTACTTGGGGGAAATAATTCTTATGTAAACCAGATTGAGATTTTAAATGTCCCTTTAAAAAATATTTTGATTTCTTTTTCAAAGAGGAAATTCATTTTTCCTGACTTCATTCATCAGTGGGGGTAAGTGCACCATCCTCATTCTCCATGCTGCCTCCCCCCTCGGGGCCAGGGGTGATGCATTCTATTCCCCAAAGTCTTAGCATGCTTGGAGAGACCCAGAAGCCAGTTCCCTCAGGTCCCCCACCCCCCTGGGGGCCCTCAAGCACTCAGCCTCCTCACTGAGTCAATCACAAAGTATAAGCTTGAGCCTTCTCTCCTGACATGCAAAGAAAGCTGGAGAGATTCCCGGGCTCCTCTACAAGGACTTTGTTTTCCACTTGTATCAGCTCCATGTATGTTATTTACAGAATTATGCTTTGTGAATTCTGTACCAAGTTGGCATCATATAAATACATGTAACTTTTTATTTTGGCAATAAATTGTGACAGCAAAAATGGTCACATATTGAACATTTCAGGATTTTGAATGCCTTGAATCAATAGATTCTTAATAATCATTTCAAGTGTAAAAACAAAATACAGTGGTACCTAGTAATAAAACTGGTGGGGAAGGGAGTAACTAATATGTACCTAATTAATTACTTGGATGATGTGAACAATTTCATGATATAATTACATTTTATGTTATATTTACATCAGTGTATTAAAGTCTAAGCCATTAGCTGATAAGATGAATATTAATCTTCATTTTGATGGTATCGTTCTCATACAATATTAATGATAAGCACTTTTATGTGCTTTGGTATAACCAATTTCAGTCATAATAATATTTAGATACTTTAGCAAGTAGGGTTTTTCCCCTTGTTGGAGGCATTTTTTGTTGTTCTGATTCTTTTGGGTACGTAAGTTCTATTGTGAATATAGAAACAATACTGTATTAATTTTAAAATACATCTATGTAAAGGAGCTGCAGATCCAGTGTGCCCAGCAGAGGGCTCCGGAAGACAGCACAAAAAGTCCTCTTTTAGATCGGTCAGAATGGAGCCTCTTCTATTTCCTTCACAGCTTACACACTCAAGATGCACGAAGACACGCAGGAGTATTTTAAAGTCTTTTCCCCAGGTACCACACCTGCCCCTGGGAGATAAAATGATTACCTTGTTGCAAACATGGCTCTCAGGGATGAGAAAGTTGCTGCATCTTCTTTCAAAGCCTTCAGTTCATTTCTAAGTTTTGTCATCGTTTCAGTCACCATTGCTTTCTCATTTTCGTATTTGTTCTTGAGATTAGCGAGGGCCACCTCAGCTGTCTAAAGCAGAAAAATCACAATGGTTACAGCTTTCATATCAGGAAAATCTATCACAGATTTCCTAGTGCCTATTTCTGAGTCTATTTCTTTAATAAAGGGGAGTAAAATGCATTGAGTAAGTTTTATATAAATATAGGTATGTATACTTTGGACATAAGGCAGTTTTCCTTAAAATCAAAGCGTGCTGTGAATCTGTAATGTGGTAAAATTGCCTGAGAAGCAGCTATGAGCCAGAGACAGTGAGAAGCTCGGGCAGTGAGAGTTCAGTCAACGTTAATGCAGAATGTTGCGAGTGTTGTATTTTCATGCATGAATTCAGGGAGCCAAACTGAAACTTTATACAAGAAGAATTTTATCAAGGAGAAGTTAGGGGGAAAGCCCTGTTTCCTACTGAAATACAAAAGAACTCATATATTCTTGTGTCTCCTGTGTTTGTTTTATTGCTGAAACAAAAAATAAAAGATGGAAGCCATTGCAACTTACATGACATGTGTCTATGACAATCAATCCATATTTATGTTTAAGAAAAAATGGGAAAAAACAATGATATTTCTATATTTGTCCACACATCTGTAGTCACATTTAACAAATTTTAATAATTTAATAATCAAATCAAAATAATCAAATTTTAATAGTCAAATCTAATTCTTTACAAGTTCCACAAATGCAAAAATTCCCAAATGTTGAATAAACTGAAATACGTGTTCAAATTTGGGATTTGGGGCAAGCCTGAAGTTTTGGGGATAGAGTGGCCAAACTGAGCACAAGGCTGACACACAGCCAGAAGTAAGACACAGGACTGTTGCCTGGATGGGTGCGTGAAATGAATGCACGTCTCGGGACTGCCTGTTTGACGCACAGCACGTGGAATGCACACTGGAACCAAACCAGAAACACATGATTTTTACCAACTGTTAACTACAAAATTTTCAGGCTGTGTAAAAATATTCAATACTAATTTTTAAACGTCCCTTGCTAATGAAAAATTCCATCATTAATAGGATTTTCCAGGAAGACTACCCTGGTTTTTAACATTTCTTTTCATGCTTGAAATGGACAGCTTCAATTGTTTTTATGCAAAGTGCCAACTTCTATAGAGGTAAACAGATTGATTTTAAATTAAAACAATGTTGGGGTGGGGTAGTTTGTTCATATTTTGATTCCAAAGCAGTTTCTTATTAGTTATGACTGAATTTAAATTCAAATTAAAATGAGAAATTATTTTAAAAATAGTTCATATGTCCTGCAGTGCTATAACGTAAGGAATCTTTAGAAATATTATAAGTTCAGAAAATTATCCAGAATGCTGAAGTTGACTTGGGGAAAATGCTGTTTTCAATTAAAGAAAAGTTAGACACATAGTCATTTAGAACAAACAGTTCAGTTTAAGTTGTGAAAATGTAGATGTAACAAATTTGTAAGCATGTGGAGCCAAGTAGTCATTTAACTACAGGGAGGGGTTAAATGACAGAAAAAAAAAATCTAAAACAAAAGTACAAAGTTATTTCTTATTTGTGAGAATTGCCCCCAAAGGACTCAGCTTTGTAGATTTGGTTGTCCACAGACTGTGCAAAGCTTTTTCAGAATCAATTCTAACTGTCTATAACCCCTTAGCAGATTTCCTGGCGTCTGCCTTAGCCACATTCTTCAAACACCCCCCCAGTTTGCTTTCTAAACCTTCTGTTCAGCAACAGAGACCTTCAAAACCATTCCTTGAACGTATCTTTCTACTTTGTGCCTCTCCTGCCCACCCACAGTTCTTTCTAGAATTATTTCCTCCTCTTCTAGAAAACAGCTCCTTCTCCTTTAAGAACAGACACAAGAATAATTCCTTGTTACTACTGGAAAAAACTGTTGGAAGTTTTTCCCAATTCCTCTAAAAGACATTAGTTATTTCCTCCGCAAGGTTCCGATAACTCAATTACAGCATGTATAAATAACATCAAACTGTAATGATCTGTTTCTGCTTTGACATCCCCACTGGTCTGTGTGTCCTCTTCTGGAGGGCAGGGACCATGGATCAGTCTTCTTTGCATCTTTAGCATCCAGCACAGTTTAGTACACAGATGGTACTTCATAAACATTGGCTTATTTTTCAGAAAACACTGTGCTTACAAAAAGTCCTAGAGCATATTAAAAGGTTCTATAAAGAAGGCATGAAAACTATTTTAAAATAGAAAATTTTTTTCCAATACCACAGAATTCTCACCTTAGTCTTAATATAAATTAACACTCCACCGTGTATAAATATAATGGGTATCATCTGTAGACAGCTGAAACTATTTATGGCACACAAGCATCACAACAATAGGCCCAGCTTAATTAAAATGTAAACTAAATGCATGGCTAGAAATGTGATTTCATTTAATTTACTGAGCCCATAAGAGGATGACGCAAATGGTGCCACAGCCAGGAAAGCTTTGTTCTGCTAATTCCTACAGCACTGTTTATACCGTTCTGAAGTGCTTACATGTACTGTTTTGTAAACAGTTAGTTATAGGCATCACTGAACTGCTACTAATTACTGGTCACTTCTTTTTTTCATCCTGTGTACTGCCTGCCATGAAATATGTAACCAGTGATTGCTTGCTCGCAAATCAGTCTCTCTTGGCTGATCCACCATGCTTATTATCTAACCTCCGTGTCGGTTATGCGCCTTGACATTCTCATCAATCTAGATTTCTAGGTTATTAATATTCAACCTTCAGGAAGAAGTCAGAGAAGCTATCTGAATAGTTTGACCCAGAATGCCCAGGGTATTATGTCCTCGGTAAAGGCTAAGTCTTATCTAATATGGTATTCATTATTTAGGACCATTCTAAACCACCGCGTCTTTGGATTCCAGCAAAATTTATGGTAACAAGTTCCTTCATTTTGACATCCCATTGGAGTCAGATCTCTCCCAAATTCTGCATTTACCCTATCTTTTCTATTTCTCTGAAGTAATAGCACAAAATAAGGTCCTCTTTTACCCTTAGATTTATCTAAAACACATTGATAGTGTTTACAGAGCAGTCGATATTATTGTGGTATAAACCTCCAAATGGTACCAGTGGGTTTGTGGGAACTGAAAATGAAGATGCTAGAAAGCTGTACCATAGATGACAAAATAATACTGTGGTTCCCCCAGATAAAAGCAAAATAGGAAACTCTGAGTCTGAAATTCACCCTCGTTTTCTGACACTAACCCTGCTTCCGTTCGCAAGAGGGTATCTGATGCCTTGTTGCTTCTTTATCAACACTCTTTTTCAGCACCCTTTTCAAATGTACCTTTCAAGGTTCATTTTCCAGAGAAGTAAAGGTCATAAATATTTTCCTGTCTATATTTCATAGCACTGCCACTCAGGTAAAGCTTGAGGAAAGAAAACAAATTCAGTCACCAAGACCTAGGAATTAGTCCGGTAGGGCCTTGTGGTAGCACTCTTACTTATTCCTGAAGGCAAGATCTATGGTTAGGAAGAATTTTCTACTGCTTAAGCTCTGACCCTGGTGAGTGAACATCCCAACTGAACCTAAATTTCAGATATGCAGTCACAGGTAGAGCTAGTGCACATTCTACCTCAATCTCTTCCTCTGTTTCTCTCTCTCTCACACTTTCTCCCGAGAAGTCCCTTCTGTTGGCTGCAGCGGCCTGCCAGGGTGTCTTCCTTACTGTATCTCCCTAGTATAAACTGCCAGGCCAGACTGTTCTGCCATCCCTCCATTTCCTGTCTTCACACACGGCCTGAACAGCCTTTCTATCCTCACCTCTATCTCCACCTACCAGAGCATAGTTACTCTATTTCATCCATTCACTGAACTAATAATAATTACTGTATTTTGATCTGGCACTGGGACTTAAGTTCTTATTCCTCCACTGACCAGGAATCTGAACTCTCATCCTGATGAGAGTCCCCTTCATCCTGATATATATATATCAGGCCCTTTCAGCCTGATATATTATAGCAGACACTCAAAAACATTAAGGAATAAATGAGCCAGGAGAGCGCTGGCTAGCACGCATGGTCAGTAGAATCAGATCACCTGCTTGTTGGCCTTCAGCACTGCCCGCAGCGTGGCGATCTGCTCCCGTTTGGTGCTCAGCAGGGACTTGAGCTTGAGGAACTCTTCCATTAAGGCTTCCTTGTCTTTATCAAGCATGGGGGTCAGCTCCCGTGCCGCTGCTCTTTGACGAGACAGTTGCAGGGACCGGTCTACAGCTTTCTGCAGATGCTTGATTTGGTCCCGGATAATGGCATTAAGGTTGTAGATGTTCATTGGCTCTTTGCGGATGTCACTGGTATCTAATACTGGCGATGATGGTGGGGCAGTAATAACAGGAGAGATGGTGGGGGTCTTGGTTGGACTTGGTTCTTTGCTGGCCTCTGTGTTTTCTTTTGTAACTGGTTCAGAGGAGGTCCTTGTTTCTACCGGGGATGACGCACCCCGCCTGGCTAACCGGGGAGACAGAAGTCCCCTGGGATCATCGGGCCCTTTCAGGCTGCCACTACGGGTAACTCTGCTTTGCCTATAGTAGTCCAGCATGACCCTGTTGGGGGTTTCATTATTACACAGACACACGTGGTGGTAAAGCTGAGCTAGCTCCTCACTGAATGTCACCAACTCATCCTGGGCTGTATTAAGGGTATTGTGATTTTCGTTGGCTATGCTGGTCATCTTTTGCAATTCCTTCTCCATATGGGCCATCTTCTCTCCACTCTCCTTGGTGGACTTCTCAAGGCTTGTTACCTGCTCATCGTACATTTGGATCTTACTCTCATACTTGGTCTTCTCTTCAGTATAGTTTTCCACAGATTTATTGTATTTCTCCTTTAAGGCTTTAATTTCAGCTTTCAAATCAATCACCTCAGTTACTGCCACCCTGTATTTGCACTCAAGGATCTCTAAGCCATTGATGTCCACCTCATAGTCATGCGCCTCCTCTCCTGAGTCCCGGCCCTTCTCCCCATCTTGCTCAGGCTTAAGCTCCTTGCTGCTCTGTAGGCCCCTCATGGCATTCACGTGCTCTGTGAGCCGGTGCACCCGTTCGTGCTGCTCTGTCAGCGCCCCCTTGGTGTGCTCCAGCTGTGTCTGTGACTCCTGGAGATTGGCCAAAAGAATGGCCTTTTCCCGCTCCACCTGCAACGGCAAAAGAAAGTCATTGAATGGCTGTGATGCAATGCCATTGATAAACTGAATCCATTCACAGTCAGGCAAGTATACATGTAAGATACATGCAAAAGACCCACCGTCGCCATTATTTTAAATTCAACTGGAGTATATTTTCTTATCTCAGAAGTTTTGGTAAGTTAATCACTCTAAGTAAATCATTCTAAAAGAATTATGCTATGCATATTTACCCATCCAAATTCTCATGCTTTATACACATCAATTCATAAAACTTGAATGTTGTTCAAACAATCCTTTTTTTTATCTTTTAACACTTTACAGAAACTATAGCATGACTTAAAAGAGATAGCACTTGGTGTTGTCTTTATTCTCAGAGTCTTCAACTGTATAGTACATTAGACTGGGTCATACATTGTATCTTTCCAAACTCTTCTAAATTTCTAGGAGGCAAGTAAAATTATTATAAATACATAATAAATATCAATTATTAAAATGTAATTAATATTTATTTTAGCCAGCATACTACTTTAGAAGATATCTATCCATCAATTTATAATACAGTAGAGTAGTATTTTTATGGTCTCTGTGGTACTTGATATCCTTCATCTAATGACCATGTACAGACAGGCCTCACTTGGCAAGGTTCTAATATGCATGAATTTCACTGACCATGGTTTAGTTAAAACACAAAATACAGTTTAGATTTCAAAGATCAATACATGAACTGTGAGCAAACATAAAAACAGTGTAAATTTCAGTGATGAATATAATAACTGTAAGCAAATGTAAAGTACAAACTTTGTCACTTCAATCTATAAAATTACTACATAGTAACGTCCTGACCAGTGGCCAATCACATGACTTCATACAAAGACTTTCAGTGATTGGTCACTGTGTATCTGTTATTTAGTTCACTCACAGACAGCAAAGTCTGTAGTTGCACTGTCTTCTTGTCCCACAGTGGTAAACCCACATAATCTTTTACAAAAAACAGATAATCCAAAGAGGGAATTGGTGAAAGAAAGAAACAAGGAAGGAAGGAAGGAGGGAGGGGAGGGGAGGGGGAGGGGGAGGGGGAGGGGAGGGGAGGGGAGGGGGAGGGAAAAAAGGGGGCAACAGAGAAATAGAGTGAAAATGTTGGAAGTGAAATTTGAATCAATCATAAATGGAGTGATAGAAGAAACAGCTGAATGTAGGAATGTGGACACTGCTGATATTTGAAGGATTTTAGATACACAGCCAAAGCAATTTGGCAAAGAACATATCAAAAATGAAAAAAGTCATTTTTATAAAAAGGATGAAAATATCCTAAAGGAAGTGGCACCAGCATACTAAAGATACTCTCAGAGATATTTTCAGACATTGGAATTGCACAGGATAAAATGTTGGAAGCTGATCTAAACATAGATGGGAGTATGACAATTTGTCAAGACATAAAAAAGATTCTTGCTCAGTATTATAAATTATAGCATGAGAAGAAAGTAAGTTCAAACTATTTTTGGTAAGGTTTTTTGGGGGGAGGGTTAAATTTTTATTTCAGAGGTAAGTTTCCTGATATTTAGATTACAGTGTTCTGAGTAGTTTTACTATTTTTTTTTCATTTCCCTATACATTTATAACCAATGTTTCAATGTAATTTTCTCATTAATAAATTTGTTTTACATAATTTCAGCTTGCTTAATTATATTTGTTTCCATAATAACATGCAAAGCAAGGATTGCCTATATTGTGTGATCAATACAGGAAACGAATTAGCAGGATTCTAATATATTAAAACTTAAAATGTAGCTTTATTATTTTAAATTATTATTTATAGGCAGGCTCTTAAGTTGCAGCTTTGATTTTTATGACATAGTGTCTGCTCATATCTATGACAGAAGTTATGTATTATGGCTAGAGAAACCATATTTCAAAAAATTTCAAAATATTTCAAAAGAACAGTGTTATAGGTAAAAACAAAACAAAACAGAATTGAGGCTCCAGCATCAGAGAACTTGAGGCAACCTCGGCACCAACATTTACTCAGCTATGTGACTCTGGCCAAGCTTCAGTTTACTAATCTATAAAAGGAGCACAAAATGTCATGATATGACACTTTGATGATTAAGATAGTAAATTTAATGCTCAAAGTATTATGCTGGTTGTTGTTAACGTTTGGGGAACTGTGGTCCAATTCCCATGACCAAAATGATTATATGTGGCAAACACTTTCCAAAAATTTGAATCTGTGTGCAAAAGCAACTCTTTCATTTCAGAGTTGGGATATAGTTGAATACAAATCTACTTAATTGGGTTTCATTGGCTGTAAAAGATTGTATCTCTACAGCTAAAGATGAATGGACTTATCCAGACTACTGGGTAATAATTTTAAGGGAAAACCCAGGTATTATGTAACATGGTATTAGATGAAAAGCCAAATCCTTTGAATTTTTGATAAAAGGGATAGAAAAATCTCCTCAATATTCTATTATTGGTACTATATACAATCTCAATGTAATTGGGTTATTTCCGGGGTTTCATTTTCCTTTTCTTTTGAAATTTAAGAGAATTTGCTCTGAAAAGTCTAAATACCATTTGATTAGTATACATGATTACAAAAGACAAAGCTACTTCCAAAAAGCCCTTTAACAGGAAAAGCCTATTTGAATAAAATTGGATAAAATAAAATAAAAATTGGACCAGAACAAAATGTACTGAATGTGTCTTAAGCTTGTTTTAGAAGTGTGATAATGAATGAGGTAATGCCTGCAGGACAGTTTCGATCTATATTCTGCCAATTCATATTGAACATAAACATTTTCGAAGTCTAAGAGGGGAGAGGGAGGGAATTTCAGGGGAAAGGGGGAAGGGTTTACAGGGACAAGTATAAGGACACATGGACTAAAACTGGGGGGGTGGACATGGGAGGGAGCTGGGGAGGGCTGGGTGGGTGGGCTGGGATGGGAGTAAAAGACAGAAGACTGTACTTGAACAACAATAAAATTTAAATAAAATAAAATAAATAAAATAAAATAAAATAACATTTTTGAAGTCTAAAAGGGTAAGTCTATCAGTTCCTTCACAACAGCACCTCCAGAAAACATCAAATAGAACATGGTCTCTTTTGTGTGCCTACATGCTCCACATGCAGGGCTAATTTCCACAAGTAATACATTTCTGGTGAAATTACCTGAATATGCAATGGTATCCAAATTTTACACGCATACACACACTCATTTTTCCACACAATTAAGATTGGTCTGACCAAGAAAAAAAGGGGGGGGGATAATTCTATAAAACTCCAGCATTATATTTTCTCTCAGCTACTGAGGCTTAGAGTATCTTAAATTGTATTTGGATTTTAGAGAGCAGTGCTTAAACTATTATAGGTACACTGTGCTTCGAATTAATAAACGTCAAGCACTTTAAAAATTACAATTACTAAACATTTTAACTGTGCTATTTTAATCTCCATTTGTGAACTTATCCAAGAGAGACTTGCTGAGTTAATTATAATCTTCCATAGTGACTAAGAATAGTTGCCTTATTTCTCTTTCTAAAATCTCTATCTTCTATCTGGAACCAAGGATTTTAGTTTTCACTGTAAGACTGGTCATACAGCCAGAAAATCTGAATGCTGAATTTGTAAATGGTTTAGCCAGTGTTAAGTATACAATATACCTTAACTACTATTGTCATTGTTATTATGTCCCATGGAAATTACATTTAATTTCACTGAACATTACCTTTTCAATAAACATATTTATGCATATTAAAAACTCAGATTTTTTTGTGAAGGAACAACAAAAACCACAAAAAGAAATATCCAAAATTTGTACATTCAATTGGAACTTCTACAGGAAAAACAAACAAAGCTATTTTATAGCTATTGATTTCCATAAAGATTTTATCCTGGTCACGTGACTCTCCATTTGACACTTGAATGACTCCTGTGATTCTAGTAATGGTATGCCTAGTATCAATGTACATAAACAGAACTCAGAAATAAATAATGCATGCTTCTCTGCTTGAAGTGAAGCATCTCGGGCAATGCATACCTGTGCTCTGACAAAAGAGAACTGTGAAAGAAGCTTAACATAGAACTAAAAAATGCTAGGTGAGAGAATCCAGCAGCTGGGAAAGAAGAAATATATCCTGGAGAGTGTGGTGAAAGGAAAATTCCCTTTTTCTCTTTTTTCTCATGCACATAAACATATGCAAAGAGACCCTTTGATCTTATTCTAAAGCCAGTATTACTGACAGCAACACTAGATAAAGACATAACAAGGAAAGAAAACTAAAGACCATTATCTCTTATAAATATAGATGCAAAAATCCTCAACAAAATGAGAGCAAACTGAATCCAGCAACATATAAGAAGAATTTTGCAACCAAGTGGGATTTATCTTAGAACTGCAACATCCAAAAGTCAATAAATATAATATACTATATTAGTAGAATACAGGACAAAAACCACATGGTCACCTCAATATATTCAGAAGCATTTGAAAAAATTCAATACTTCTTCATAGTGAAAATAGTCAATAAATGTAGAAATAAAAGAGAATGTCCTCAATCTGATACAAAACGCTCACAGATAACATACTTAATAGGGAATCCTTTCCTCCTAGAATCAACAGCAAGACAAAGAATAATGCTCCTGCTGCTTTCATTCAGCATCACACTGGACTAGACTACAACCACAAGGCCAATGATATCAAGTGTTGGCGAGGACGCGGGGAAGTGAAAACCTTCATACACTGCCGGTGGAGATGCAAAATGGTGTAGCCGCTGTGGAAACCAGTCTGGTAGATCCTTTAAAGAGAATTAAAACATATGTGCACAAGAAAACTTGTACATGAATGTTCACAGCAGAATTATTCATGATCGCCAAAACATGGGAACAACTCAAATGCCCCTCACTGACAGATGAATAGATAGATAAATGAATAAATAAAATGTGGTCTATCTATACAATGGAATGTTATTTGGCAAAAAAAAAAGAACGAAGTACTAACAGGCTACAACAC